AAATAATAGAAATATGGACAATATGTTCTTATATAAGTTTTCCGAAATTTAAAATATATCACATAACATATCCCAAGCAGAAAGGTGTACAAAGCCATTTGTGGCTTCTATGATTTTTTGTTTAATTTCACCCCCAATTGCACCCCCTCAGACGGCTCGACAAACTCCAGCATGGTATCAGGCATAAAGAAAATAGCTATCTTCATAACATATCTCAAGTAAAAAGGTGTACAAAGCCATTTGTGGCTTCTGTGATTTTTTTAATTTCATCCCCAATTGCACCCCTTCAGACGGCTCGACAAACTCCAGCATGCTATCAGGGATGAAGAAAAGAGCAAACTACATAACATATCCCAAGCAGAAAGGTGTACAAAGCCAGTTGTGGCTTCTATGATTTTTTGTTTAATTTCACCCCCAATTGCACCCCCTCAGACGGCTCGACAAACTCCAGCATGCTATCAGGGATGAAGAAAAGAGCAAACTACATAACATATCCCAAGCAGAAAGGTGTGCAAAGCCAGTAGTGGCTTCTATGATTTTTTGTTTAATTTCACCCCCAATTGCACCCCCTCATACGGCTCGACAAACTCCAGCATGGTATCAGGCATAAAGAAAATAGCTATCTTCATAACATATCTCAAGTAAAAAGGTGTACAAAGCCATTTGTGGCTTCTGTGATTTTTTTTTTAATTTGATCCCCAATTGCACCCCCTCAGACGGCTCGACAAACTCCAGCATGCTATCAGGGATGAAGAAAAGAGCAAACTACATAACATATCCCAAGCAGAAAGGTGTACAAAGCCATTTGTGGCTTCTATGATTTTTTGTTTAATTTGACCCCCAATTGCACCCCCTCAGACGGCTCGACAAACTCCAGCATGGTATCTGGAACGAAGAAAAAGGGCAAACTACATATCATAGCGCATGCAGAAAGGTGTACAAAGCCATTTGTGGCTTCTTTAATTTTTTTATTTCACCCCCAATTGCACCCCTCAGACGGCTCGACAAACTCCAACACGGTATCTGGGATGAAGAAAAGAGCCAACTAGATAACATATCGCAAGCAGAAATGTGTACAAAGCTATTTGTGGTTTCTGTGATTTTTTTTAATTTCATCCCCAATTGCACCCCCTCAGACGGCTCGACAAACTCCAGCATGCTATCAGGGATGAAGAAAAGAGCAAACTACATAACATATCCAAAGCAGAAAGGTGTACAAAGCCATTTGTGGCTTCTATGATTTTTTGTTTAATTTGACCCCCAATTGCACCCCCTCAGACGGCTCGACAAACTCCAGCATGGTATCTGGAACGAAGAAAAGGGGCAAACTACATATCATAGCGCATGCAGAAAGGTGTACAAAGCCATTTGTGGCTTCTTTAATTTTTTTATTTCACCCCCAATTGCACCCCTCAGACGGCTCGAAAAACTCCAACACGGTATCTGGGATGAAGAAAAGAGCCAACTAGATAACATATCGCAAGCAGAAATGTGTACAAAGCTATTTGTGGTTTCTGTGATTTTTTTTAATTTCATCCCCAATTGCACCCCCTCAGACGGCTCGACAAACTCCAGCATGCTATCAGGGATGAAGAAAAGAGCAAACTACATAACATATCCCAAGTAGAAAGGTGTACAAAGCCAGTTGTGGCTTCTATGATTTTTTGTTTAATTTCACCCCCAATTGCACCCCCTCAGACGGCTCGAGACTCCAGCATGGTATCAGGCATAAAGAAAATAGCTATCTTCATAACATATCTCAAGTAAAAAGGTGTACAAAGCCATTTGTGGCTTCTGTGATTTTTTTTTAATTTCATCCCCAATTGCACCCCCTTAGACGGCTCGACAAACTCCAGCATGCTATCAGGGATGAAGAAAAGAGCAAACTACATAACATATCCCAAGTAGAAAGGTGTACAAAGCCAGTTGTGGCTTCTATGATTTTTTGTTTAATTTCACCCCCAATTGAACCCCCTCAGACGGCTCGACACTCCAGCATGGTATCAGGCATGAAGAAAATAGCTATCTTCATAACATATCTCAAGTAAAAAGGTGTACAAAGCCATTTGTGGCTTCTGTGATTTTTTTTTAATTTCATCCCCAATTGCACCCCCTCAGACGGCTCGACAAACTCCAGCAAGGTATCTGGGAGAAATAAAAGAGCAAATTACATAACATATCGCAAGCAGAAAGGTGTACAAATCCATTTGTGGCGTCTATCATTTTTTTTTAAATTTCATCCCCAATTGCACTCCCTCAGACGACTCGACAAACTCCTGCATGGTATCTAGGATGAAGAAAAGAGCAAACTACATAACATATCGCTTGCAGAAAGGTGTACAAAGCCATTTGTGGCTTCTGATTTTTTTTATTCCACCTCCTCAGACGGCTCGACAAACTCCAGCATGCTATCATGGATGAAAAAAAGAGAAAATTACATAACATATCCCAAGCAGAAAGGTGTACAAAGCTATTTGTGGCTTTTATGTTTTTTTTTTTAATTTCATCCCCAATTGCACCCCCTCAGACGGCTCGACAAACTCCAGCATGGTATCTGGGAGAAAGAAAAGAGCAAATTACATAACATATCGCAAGCAGAAAGGTGTACAAATCCATTTGTGGCGTCTATCATTTTTTTTTAAATGTCATCCCCAATTGCACTCCCTCAGACGACTCGACAAACTCCAGCATGGTATCTGGGATGAAGAAAAGAGCAAACTACATAACATATCGCTTGCAGAAAGGTGTACAAAGCCATTTGTGGCTTCTATGATTTTTTTTATTTCACCCCCAATTGTACCCCCTCAGACGGCTCAACAAACTCCAGCATGCTATCATGGATGAAAAAAAGAGAAAATTACATAACATATCCCAAGCAGAAAGGTGTACAAAGCTATTTGTGGCTTTTATGTTTTTTTTTTAATTTCATCCCCAATTGCACCCCCTCAGATGGCTCGACAAACTCCAGCATGGTATCAGGGATGAAGAAAAGAGTAAACTACATAACATATCCCAAGCAGAAAGGTGTACAAAGCCATTTGTGGCTTCTATGATTTTTTTTAAATTTCACCCCCAATTGCACCCCCTGAGACAAAGCAAAAGTTAATTGCGGGTATGGTTGCTGTGTATTGAAACCTCCCCAATTGAAATCTACAAATGAAAAGCCTCTACAGGTAATTTGAACCAAGTTATATGACTATTACGATAGAGTTATATTTTTCTCAGTGTACATTTGTGGATGTGGATAACTTCACACCCGTAAAATTTCCCGGCGTAATAATTGATGAGCATCTAACTTGGGTGGAACATCTACATTCACTTTGTGGAAGGCTCAGCAGAGCTTGCGTTGCATTGAAACAAGTTAAAAAAGTTGTAGATCATTTTTATTTTAGATCAGTATATTATGGTATATTCTATTCCTCAATGTGCTATGGAATTATTTTTTGGGGAGGTTCACACTGTCAAGAAGTCTTTGTGATACAAAAAAGAGCAATTCAAATATTGGCTAATCTAAAGCTTACAAAAATCTAAATGTGTTGACAGTATATGCTAGTTATGCATATGAGTGTACATATTATGTTTGTATAAAAAAATAAAAGTATATTCAATGAATATATAGCAGACCACCTTCACAATACAAGGTTTAGAAATAATTTTTGTCTACTGACACACAGAACTACCCTACTGGAAAAGGGATGCTGTAACAAATGTTTGCAATTTTATAATATGCTTCCTGATCTTTTAAAAAATACTAAGAGCCTATCAGCTTTCAAAAATAAGGTATAACAAATTTTGATTTCTTTTGAGCCTTACAGCTTAGATGATGTAAACTAAGTGATTGTTATTTGTAACTAATTTGTGAAATCAACAGAAATCTATACTAGTATTCAATGGTAATATGGTTTTGCTGGGTTTCCCCATATTTCTTAGCAAATGCACCACTATATTCATTTTTAAGTCACCCCAGTGTGCACTTTGTAGGTCATCAAACTAGTACAGATTATCCTGGCTTCTGACTTATACCATACAATTTTATATGTATTTTTTTCTGTATAATATTGTTCCTGGCATTAATAAATATTATTATTAAATACCTTACCACCTATTAAGTAAGTTATTGAGCTGGCAACAAGTAACTTGTTGAACAAATTGAATCTAATGATATTTTAATCACACCAATCTAATTTCAGATAAAAATATTCTTGTCAAACAGCATTACAAGTGATATTATGTAAAATAAAAAGTGAAACGGAAAATAATAAGTATGCTATTTTAAGATTTTAAAAGAGCTTTTGAGACAATTAATAGAGAACTTCTACTGATAAGCTTTTATAATATGGTATTGTTAGGACTGTGTTTAATTGGTTTTATAACTATTTAAACAATTATTGCAAACAGCAAGTAAGGTTTCATGATACATGTTCTTCCAAGATCCCTATTGATACAAGAGTCTTCCAAGGGAGTATCTATTTATGTGATTTTCATATTTATAGGAAAATACATCCATATATCGTTTGATCTCAATATCTCGACACAAATTGCCCTACCTCCATGTTCTTGTAGATACATTAAAATCAGCCAATGCTTAGGTATTACAAATAAAATATAAATTATTTTAATCAAAGATATATTTGCCGTGGTACTTTGGAACACACTGTACACAAATGAAACTTTTTACCATGTAAAATCTTAACTTGAGGCAGTTTAAGATATTTGATACACAAAATAAAAATAATGTGATTCACATTTTATTATCTTATACCTGTTTGTCAAATTATCTACCTCATTAGCCCTAAATGTCACAAGACAATATTAATTTTGACTGCTTATAATTTCGTACACAATCACTACACTTACTAAACCTTTTACGCCTTATTTAACAGCATAATCTATTCAAAATACGCAAAATACCAACACAAACAGTACGTAGAGACTTTGTGTAATATTTTAAATTATAGCGAATTAGCAGAATTAACCTATAAATAGATTCGTACACTTACCCAAGATATTCATATAATCAGGGGTTAAATCTTCCTGTCCAGTTCCATTTCCAGTCTTAGGAACGTACCTTTGAACCTTTTCCGGTCTACGGGGATCCGCGTTCATTTCAAATCTAAAATATAAAATATTTAACCTCGCAGAAAATAAAATCAGACAAGAAATTCAATTTCGCAGAAAATCAGAACACAAATGTCAAAATCAGATGAAAAATGCTAATAGATACCTTAGACTAAACCCGATCGAATAATTGCTGCTTTATTTATGGCGAATCGTGATACTGGATATTAATTACGCATCTAATCTGTACTTACGTTCAATTTTAATTATTATTTTGATTATTTTTCACTTCCAACATTCACAATAATCGGAATAATGGCGACTACTTTTTAATCAATGCTACCAACAATGCCAACATAACAATTCATGAATCGTTTAAGTCAGCTGTCAAACGTTGCGTTAACCGACATACATAAGCGAGCAACAACGCTGCCAGATTGTTGAAACAGCAAAGAATATACCGTAATTCGAAAAACGTAGCGATTTGGAGAAGCTATAGACATTTTAGACAACGAGAGAAACAAGACAATAGGTTCTTTCGTTCGCTGTTGGTGAAATGCCCATCAGTATAAATTACACCAGTCACACCACCTTATTTATCCTAGTTTACTTCCTCCTTATTCCTTGTACACATATCGAGTGTAATTCAGTCCTAATAAATAGCTGGTGGAGAAAATATCCACCAGTGTACACCACATCGCCGACAGGAAGTAGATTTTACATCAGGCCAAACGAAAGATTTAGTGTCCGTTGGTGTAGTTCATTCGTACACCAATGGAACGAATGAATGAACCTAATAATTCTTGTCTTTTTTCTTGATTTCTCGATAATTTCTTTAGTTTTGGGGTTCCCTGAATTTGTATAGCCACTTCACAAAATACGTGGGAACAGGTTTTATAAGGGTTTATTAAATCTCTTGAAAACAATGTTTAAAGTGTAACCAATGAAGGAACAAAATAAACAATGTCTATAACGGACATAAATGTCCACCTTGCTTGCGGTCGCTCGATTAAAATTCAAGTGTTTCCGTTTTCTCTGTTGTGCTGCGACGGGTGTGGTACACATACTTCGATTTTCTCATACTTTACGGAGAATGGTCGCACACTAATCAGCTTTCTGAGTGCATTTTAAAAGGAGATAGAAAACTCCGCCATTTTGAACACTTATTATGTGTTGCCTACATCTTGGTGCAATAGTTTTAGTGGTTATGTTATAATATTTACCCAAAGTTAGTCCCCAAAGATATTATTTACGAACCTACACTTTACAAAACCTTTAATAAATGATGAATATCTTGAAAACCTTGCTTTACTTGGTGATTTTACGTTAAATCTTTTCATTTATAAGTAACAGTAACTACTTTAATTATGTTTCTATTGCTGTATTCTAAATACTTTTTATTTTTCAGGTCTCCTAAGAATTTAGAATACTTAACTTGAACAGTGTTTACAAACCATTAATCAAATTGTTTAGAAATTATTTTTAGCTAAACTTTGTTATGTCTGTTCTCAGCATTTTGAGGAAAATGTTTATTGCTCTTATGTAAAAAGGTATGTGATCAATCACTAAGCAATTCTTTGTAGAAGGCAAATACCAAGAAAATTGAAGTATTTACTTCAATAGATAGGAGCAGTTTTAAATCAAACGAAATAATATAAATAAACATGTAAGTAATATTATTTACTTTTTGAAACGTTTATATTATAATAATTGTTTTTATTTATTTCACGTTTACTACATCTGGCTCATCTACACACCTGAAAGAAGAGGTAGGCAGAGGTTTACTACATCTGGCTTATCTACACAGCTGAAAGTAGAGGTAGCCCACTGCCTCAATAAGAAAATAAATAGTCCCCTCTGCTAAATAGTTTATCTGGAACAGTTAGAAAATGACCTGTCCTGTAATATTTAATTTTTTTATTTGGTACAGTAAACTGTGTAACAATTTCGGATAAATGGAAATTTCTGAGAAGGAAAAGTACCACTGATCCAGGTACATTGATTTTGTACGTTAGGCATACACAGGAATCATAAAAGTAACACAAACGTCTTTTAGAGCCACCATATGTCGACATTCTTTTTACAATATTTTAAGTCGACGGACTAAGAAAAGCACAGCTAGACCATCGGTTGCTATAGAAGCAGAAAGTAGGGACATATGCAAGAATTTTGAATGTGTACACTACTACACTAGCATGCAATCTAATGTTAATACAATTAACAAGCTTGTGTAATCTTTGAAAACGAGAATATTAGTGGAGGTGGTAACACACCCATAGGGTATTTTATTGAATAGAAAATAGAAAATATTCAGCAATTTCTTACTGTGTAACAAGTGATAGAAGACTCATTTGTAGATGAACAATACATCTGTTTTAGTTAAAAATTTAACAACTATATATAACTAATTAAAAAAAAATAACTGTTATACAAATTCAATGTGTGTCTTAGATAAATTATAAGATAACAATTAACTATCTTTTACAGCTTGCCTGCAAGAGTATATTCCTCTGGTAATACCTTTTAGTTAGAGCTTCTTTAATCTCACATTTCTTTATTTTTATTTTATAGTTTTGTACCATATTTACAGCTGAAAAAATGCAAAATATATTATTAGATTGTTTAGCCTCAAATATTTTTATTACATTACAAAAATAAAATGTTTGTTCATGGGCATGGGACTGCCGAAAAATATCATAATATTAAGGTAAAATCATATGCACAGCTTTATAAATAATTTAAAACCACTCACCTCTATTTCAAGATGCACTCGCAATTATAAATTTACTTCAAAGAAGTTTCTTGTACATTATTTAAAATAAATAAACCTTTCTTCTACATTTGTTGCATTCATTAAAATTTCAAAATACCAAGATGTAGGCTACCAGTTTAACATTTTGGAAAAATGTGTTGCCTAACCTAGTAGTAATTGTATCAAAATGGCCGCGCCCTATATTGGGAGTGTCGCACGTCTCTCTTGCACCGTATAGTAATCAAAGTATGTGGTGTGGTACCATTAGCTTCTGCGGCGCCAGTCTTCTAATTCGCTGACTCCTAACAATTAATTACTAACAATCAATTGAAAAAATCAGATATTTTGAATCCCAATTTAAATATAATTGTTACGAACTGGCAACAATGTACAAATTTTATAACAGCACGTGCTCGCAGATGCATGATATATTAATTTTAAATTTTTATTACAATTATTTGCAGGTCTATTTTTATCTTTTTGATATTTTCAATAGTTTTAAATAAAATGATAAACAATCATTTGATTTTAGCCAACATTTAAAGGCAATTTCTAATTTACTAGTTTTTTAGGGGAAATGTTAAAATCCCTAAAAATGTTGCCTATATAACTGAGAATATAAGTAAATTTAATTATAATTCTAAAATATTGGGGTGTACATTTTTAAAAACTGCATTAATTATAAAAAAAGAATAGTAAAATGTATTTAATTCGAAAAATAGTACTTGTTAAAAGTGTTGCCTACCTACTAGGTCTCGTTGAATTTCGTTTTCGCTCCAGTTTGTTTGACATATTTGACATCATTCGTGACCTGACCTAGAGCGAACTTCAAGTCTTCAAGATCGCCAAAATATTTTAAAATTTTCAACTCGTTATACATTTATATAATGCTGAATTAAATAAGCAGTCGTATAAATAAATAACGTCCCAAATGGAGAGAGTTACAAGGACTGTTAATAATGTTACAGATTATATGGAAAAGGATAATAGAGGAATGCAGGTGTGTAATTTTAAACTTTTATGTTATTGTTGTTGATGATCTAATATTTAAGAATGTTGTTTTATTTACAGATTACCTGCTATTCTTTGGCTTTATTTGGATTGACAGTTGCTTTACGAAGAGTTAGACCAGTGAGTATTTTATGTTGTATCATATTATTTTTTGAATTGTAATTGTCTCTAATGTTACTATAAGTTAAGACATTATTATTTATTACTATAATTTGTGTATGCCAACATTTAAGACAGTGTATTATAATTCTAGTTCAGTAGATTTCGAAAACCGTCCGATATTCCTAATCATTTTATCAAAGAAAAACGCCAGTTGGAAGGCTGCGTCAAAGGTATACATCCCAATGGTGTACTTATCATAGAGCACAAACCCTTGGTTCCTCTACCTCTAATTCCATCTGGAGAATTGCCAGTTAAAATATCTGGTGTAAATGTGATTGGATTTGGAACGAATTGGTTGCAATCCATCGTGGCAGGCCAGGATGTTACTTTTATTCCTATTTCTAAGGAGAAGGACTATGTGCAGTGTCAAGTGCTTTTAATGCAAACTGTTAGAGATGTAAGTTAATTTAATTACATACTTTTTTTAACTCTGAACATTCTGATTATTGCTATTTAGGGATTTTTAGTAGTGATTCATTTGAACTACTCCAATGTTAATAAAAACATAAATTTAGCTTCATAACTGACTCATTTTACAGCAAATTTAAAAAATATATTGTTATGCACTTAAAATAAATGTCAATTAATGCATAAATTAGCTTCTTTTTCATTTTAGACTATTTGAATTTAAATTTCTAGCAATTTAAATTGAATTTAATACTTCGTACATTTGAACTACTGACTTATTCTACAGTAAATTTAAAGAATATAATATTTTGGGGCTGTTATATTCACCTCTGAGTAAAGTGAGAGTAACAACTTTTTGTTTGGACTGCTTACAGTTTGCTAATCTGTCATATAAATCTACAGCCTAAAATCAGCAAGTGGTCCTTAAAAAAATATAATAGGTTTGTTGATAATTAAAAAATAAATTGCTTTATTCAATTTTTTTTTAGGGTATTGCTCTTATATCCTACATACACCTTTATTTTTCTGAATTTTTGTTAAATTTGATCTTTTGTATGAATTTCCACAAATTTTTATACTAGCCACCCCACTCTATGTTTATTCTGTTATACTTTTAAGTAGGTTTCAATTTATTATATATAATATCTAAAGACTCAATTTTTTACTTTAATTTAGCCACTCTCTTAAAGATGGCACTAGTAGTTACTGTTACTATTTATTTGAAATTTAATTTAAAAAAATGTTTATTTAGTTGGTTGAATCATTTTGTACTATTTTACAGTAAAATCAACAAAATTATATATTAATTAAAGTAAATTAGATTTTTTTATAGTGATTCATTGGAACTACCATAAAGTAAATGGCCTAAAAACAACTAGTTTCACGTTTAAGACATTTTTAATTAAATTTCATTATACAATGTTGAGATTCTCTTTCATCCTATAGAAAAAGAAGCAAACCAAACGGGCTCTCATCAACGTGGGTGAAAGCCTGATCAAAATAGGCTTCGCATTGCCGGAACCGATCAGGAAACCTTTATCGGAAGACTCGACGTTCCTAAAATACTACGCTCTCCTCATCAACGCCGAAAAATACGCTCAACGCAAGCAAATGGGCCTCAAGTACTATATAATACCGACGAAGAGGATCCTTTCAAAGTCCCTCGAACGACTGATTGCCCTGTTTCATATCACCAAAGCCAAGGTGCCCAAGATGATTCATAAGGCTCCAAAGGTTTATGGGTCATAGCAAATGCTATTTAACGTAGTGTTCGGTTTCTTTGTTCTAATTGCGCAAGTCATGGGTCTTTATAATATACTTAAGTACTTTTTTTATCCCAATCACAAACATACCGTTATGGAGGATATACTGTTGTTGGTCATGGAGAATTAGGAAGGTTTGAAATTGTTTTTAGGATCATCAGGGGATGAGTTTAAGTTTCACACCTCTTTGTATTAGGACACACAATTCTACTAGTTTCTAGGTTACACTCTTTAGGTGTTTGCTAGCTTCAAAAATGTCTAGAAGTTTTTTTATATTTTTGTATGTACTAGAAAGGTCTTCAAAGTCTCACAGAAGCTGGAAAATTGCAGTTTTTAATAATTTTCTAGCTTCAAATATGTCTATGTAATATCTATTATGCCTCTAGATCTCTTTACTTCGTCTAGAAGTGTCTTTTAAGTTGTAACTTGCAATGATAAGCAATTCTTCCAGTAAAATGTTTTAGAAGCTGTAATTTTCTGTTTTTAGCAACCTGTAAGCTTCATAAATGTCTAGAAGGTGAATAAAAAGGTATGTTTGATCTTATACAACCATTTGTCTAGTCTGGAAATGTTTTCAAATTTACAATGTTGTCGGTAATATGTCTTAGAAGCTAGAAATTTCTATTTTATGTACCTGTAAGCTTCAGAAATATCTAGAGAGTCAACGAAAATGTGTTTGATCTGGTCTGGAAGTGTCTTCAAATTTTTAACTTGCAATTTTGCAACTAAAATGTCTTAGTAGCGAGAATTTTCTGTTTTTAGGCATTTTAATTTAGTCTTTATATGACAGTTGATAATTTCAGCTTTTAGGCAACTGTAAACTTCATAAATGAAGAAAAGTTTCCTTAATGTCTTTCATAAAAATGTGTTTGAAGCTAAACAACTATAAATTTTCGGCTACCTGTGAGCTTCAGTGATGCCTAGATAGTAATGAGAAGTTTACTCTTTGTTTTTACTACTTTTATCTGTGCCAGAAGGTTCTTCAAAGTCTGACATAAGCTGGTAACTACAGTTACAAGCTACAAGTGTGTCTATATACTCAAGGGAAATATCTATTAGGTCTCTAGATCTCTTTACCTACTCTAGTTGTAATTTGCAGTGACTACTCTAGTTGTAACTTGCAGTGATAAGCAATTTGTAAAATGTCTTAAAAGTAAGAGAAACCTGTAAGGTTCAGAAATATTTAGGAATCAAATGTTTGATCTATATAATATACTCGTTTGCCTGGTCTGGAAGTGTTTTCATATTTTAACTTGCAATTCATCTAGTAAAATGTTTCAGCAGCTGGAATTTTCTGTTTTTTGGGAACATCAGGTGACGAATTTAATTCTTCAAACTCTTTGTATTAAAAAATGCAATTTTTCTAGTTTCTAGGTTAAATTTTGTTGAAGTTTTCTATTTGTTTTTACTACTTTTTATCTACTGAAGAAGCTGGAATTGTAGTTTTTAGTAATCTGAAAGCTTCAAATATGTCTATATACTCAAGAGAAATATCTATCAGGTCTCTAGATCTCTTTACCTCATCTAGAAGTTATGTGCAAAGTTTTAACTTGCAGTGATAAGCAATTCTTTTAGTAAAACGTCTCAAAAGTAGGAAATCTTTGTTTTTTAGAAACCTGTAAGCTTCAAAAATATTTAAAGAGTAAAGAAAAATGTATATTTGATCTATACATTCACTTTCCAGGTATGGAAGTGTAATTTATCCAGTAAAAGTCTTAGAAAGCTGGAATTTTCTGTTTTTAGGCGTTTCAATTTGTTATTTACATCTCTTTGCATTAGCAGCTGGTAATTTCAGTTTTTAGGCAACTGCAAGCTTCATAGATGTCAAAGAGGAAACGTCTACATTTCTTTATATTTTCTATGAAGGTCCTGAGTTAACTGTACAGTAATTTTTTAATAAAAATGCATTTGAAGCTAAACAAATATAGTCTTGATCATCTGTTAACTTCAGTGATGTCTAAATAATCAAAGGGGCTTTATTGTTTAACTGTTCATGTTTTTATCATTCATCGAAGTGTCTTCCAGTCTTAATGAAAGATGGTAGCTGATTAAATGATAGATGAGTGGTACAAATAGGTTAAAAATCTAGTAAATGGTTAAGGATTGCACTGATGGTTAATTTGTTGGGTAGGTGAAGTTATTGACTGGAATTTGTCGAAATTTGTTGGTTGTGAGAGAGTTTAATCATGTTGATATTTATTGACAAAGAGTTTTAATTAACGGTATACCTCCAGTTATTGGTCTAAAAAAATGTTATTGTAAATAATGAAATTTGCGATTAAAGACGAAATGTTTTTGTTTAAATTGGGCACGCGATTGGTACATTATGAACTTTTTCTGTTTTTCTTTTCTTAATTTTTACATTTACTTTTACAAACTAGTATTAAACTACTTTGATTGCGGCGATTATAACATAGCAACGAACTAGAATTTTTTTGTTTTTTTTTAAATAATATATTGCCTGCTGAAGGTTTGTTTGTAAAAAGATTATTTTTAGATATAAATAAAAGTTAAAAAAAGCTTTTTGTTGCTTTTTTGTTGTAAATAAAGGTTGTTTTCGTAAGTTTTTTATTATTTTACATTTGCAACTTGCAGGGTGGATCACAAATAATAGTTTTTTGTAATCAGGGAATATCCAAATAACCAGTATTTGCAATGATTAAATAATCGATTATTTGAAATAATTGATTAATCGAAAAATAATCGATTAATTAAAAATAAAATCGATTAGTCGAATAAAATGAATGCTTGAATAAAATCGATTAATCGAATAAAATCAATTAATCGCAAAAATCGATCAATCGAAAAACATCGATTGATCGAAAATAATCGATTAACCAAAAATAATCAACTGAAAATAATCGATTAAAAAAATCGTTCTATATAAAATAATCGATTAATTGAAAATAATCGATTAACCAAAAATAATAATCTAATAACCAAAAATAATAATCGATTAATTGAAAATAATCCATTGATCGATTATCAAGTTGGGAAACGTTTAAACAGTGCTGCCCTCGTACAGAAGAAGGCCAGTGCTAAAATGTTAATTTTTATAAAAAAGATAAAAATTGTGACTATTATCAAAATATTACCTATACATATTTACTAAACAAGTACACCAAAACTTTTTTAGTAAATTGTTATATTTTTACTTACATATAAGTTTCTTAAGAAATAATATTAAATATTCTTGTCTTTCAGAATTCATCCCAATTCGAGCATACCTCGAGATTGGGATGAGACAAGACAAGCTTCTAGTTGCTTTGTTGGGGATGGGCTGTACCACCCCCGGAAGTATCGAGATTAATGGAGTACTGTCAGAGAAGAAATCTGCCATTACTTCTTAGATGCGACTTCAACTTGCAGAGCACCATATGGGGAAGCAACAACACCAATCAAAAAGGTGAGAAACTTCTAGAATATATTTTTAATCAGAACCTTATTATATAAAACATTGGCAAGGGGAAGAAAAAAGGTATAAGATAATCGCATTAAAGGTTTATCAAGCATTAAATATCTAGTTACAAACTGGAGAGTATCGATCACAATATAATTGTGTTCAAGTTAGGGAGTTACTCGCCTGAGACGAACCTCAGAAGGATTGCTAGAAAAACAGAATAGGACAAATACAACATCACTCTAAAATAAAAATTTTCCATGAGTGAGAAAACTATTTTGCGTTGGCAGGTATGTTGCATGTGTTCACAGAATGTTTTTCTCGGAATTTTCAAATACGTTAAAATGCATTCCTGCATCTGTCAGTGTCAGTTTTGTTTTTAAACCTATATAAAAGGTTATAAGTCGTTTTTTATGTAAATGGAGTTTTTAGTCAAGATGCGTTTAGAAGAGTGTATATTTTAGGCAATTGAAAGGATCTAAGTCTATATACGTTGTAAAGTAATTAAAGTAAGGTACAAAAAAACATATATAATAATACAAGGGTAACCGCGAAAGACAAAACGACATAATTAAACATAAACAGTCAAATTTTGTAACATAAAACAAAATATGTCTACATATTTTTTAATTTTTACAGGACCAAATCTCCTAAAAAGATCGTCGATTTGGATTCTAAAAATCCTTATTAATTTGTCTCAAAATTTTCCAGCGCCATTCTCCAAAAATGTGTTATATAAACTTATTACTTTTTAAACGCAGACGACAGAATTGAAACATGATTTTTATTCTTTGTTTTATGTGAGTTTTAAATTAAGTAATATAATATACAAATTGAATAATAAAATATATTGTTGTTCTTATGTTTACTATCATTTAGTTTTACATTGATTAAACCACTTTTTCGTTTTTGTTTTTTGATAAAACTTTGTTTACCTTTTAAACTGACAACTAAACATAATATAAAAACTTTTTTAAACTAAAATTTCTATGTTAATACCCAAATTTCAAAATAATTATTAATATTACTCTGCAAAATTAAAATCGGTAATAAAGTAACCAATCACCTTTAACACATAAAACTAACTCACTTAAATCCTCAATTTTTATAAATTCAACACAATCTATAAATATCTTAACAATTAGGCATTCCAAACTGAATGACTACCAGTGGGTTTTGACAGATTATGATAAGGCAAAATTATGGCAACCCTGTAGGCCTGGTGATTTGACGAGGTCAATGAAATAGATAGCTACATAGATTGATCATCCATATTTTTCAAAATAAACATAAGCTAATGCCTTGAAGTAAAAATGTGAGCAATTATTTTTTTTTTAATATCCAAAGGCTGAAAATTGGCTTTAAAACACATTTTTGCTAAACCGATTCAAATTAATAAATATTTGCCAGGCAATATGGCCGCTCGCAAACGACCAGCTTTGAGCAATCTATATAACTATATATGTATCATTGACCCTGTTAATGGCAACAAGGTTGCCATATCTAAACTGTCAGTCCCCACTGGTAGCCATTTGGACAGGTCGTTAGAATGCCTAATTCTAAATTAGCCAAATTTATTAGATCTATTCCATTTCATACTTTTAGACACTGAAATCACAGTAAAAACATTAAAATTTAGCAAATGTCAGTCACGTAAAATGAAAGTAATCTACTTTGTCGCTGCGCACATGCCTGCCGCCTGTTTTACAGTAAAACGGTGTTGCCGTATTTT